GGGTGAATAATGGAGACGTATCCCCTCACTCTTCACACCATAGCAATATCTAGGCTCGGTGCAGAAGTCTTCCATCATACCAGACAATATTAGCGACAGAGGTGCTTGATATATGTTTTTTCGCAGCAGTAGCAAACCAGCTAACAGGCCTACTAGCTCTCCGAAAGGGAAGTCACTGTTGTGTGTCAAATTGCAGATGGTAAAGGGAATTTAAACCATCAATAAATGCTGTTTGAATCAGATTAAATACATTAAATAATTAAGTTTGATGAATCAGATATGAGCTTCCAGTCTCGATTATTACTTAAAAGTAATTTAGCCATAAGTTCATGATTAAACTCAAAAATATCTTCCCTTAGAAAATGTCACTTGTTTAAGCTAAGTTTTATGTCACCTTCTGTTTTGGTATTCCGCTGCTTTAATATATAATAAGAAGTTGTCTTTGAAGTTGTAAAATTCACCAATAACTGACGTGTAGTCCTTAAAATTAACCTTACTAAATGTATATGCAAATTGGAGGATGAAAGGGAAAGAAGGCGTAGTGCTTATGAAGTCAAATGTCTTTTCTTGTAAAGGTTTGTACATATTTCTTCAATAGTTATGGTAATTAACATTGAGGACCCTCAGCTTACATAACAGATAGAAATACAAGCACATCAAACGGCTTTGAATGTACCTTTTTCTCCTTGATGTGACAAGGCTTTTTAATATGACATTTAAACATTTTTGCAGAGCAATATTTATGCCATTACATTGTCCACATACAGTCAAGTTCTAGTGCAAACATGTTAATGATAAGTAATAAAAATGATTCATTTTGATGGCTCCTTAAAAATAAATAAACCGAAATAAAAACAACAAACAAAGCTGAAAAATTGAAACAATTGCAAGTATGCAATTTCAAATGGAAATACCTCAAAGTAACAAATAAATCACGTATATATTTAAACTTTTTTTTAAATTAATTAATAAAAAAACACACCTTTTGAAAAAATATGTTTAAATGGCAATTACAAATATGTTTCAATCTGGTGTGTCAGATGCTGGTGTTGAAATTGCTCATGAACTTGATTCATATGGTAAACATCGTCATAAAAAGTTTATTAGCAGGTGATGAACCTATTATCTTTCCTAAATACTTCGGTTGAGGTTTCAATATGTTGGAAAATGAAGGCTCATGTTACCATTCAGTATAGAGTAGATGTACGGTGCAGTACGCTCTTTGTCTCAACATTATGTTTAAGACATTAAAGCCATGTAGTTTCAGCTCAAGGGTAATGAGGTAGTTTGAGTGAACATAAATATAAGACCTATGTCACTGAATAACTTGAAGGAAAAATTGGTGGACAAACAGCAGTTGCCATTTATACTTTTTGCCGGCAACCAGCAACGTTTTCATCACTCTTTCGACTCCAGCTTTGTGAAAATGTGGCATGTACAGTTGGTCAAGTGTTTGTTTGCACATGTTCTACTTTTATGTAGTGGAGGGCAGCTGAAAAAGGTAGAATTCCGTTTTGTACATAATGAAACACTGTACTTGATCACTTTTCATTTTACACTTGACCATAAAATACCCTTGATACATCATGCAAAGTGTAATGAATTGCAGAAATAACTACATTTGTGTGTAACTAGCGGATTCCCTTTCTGGTTTCTTGGCATAAGAGTGTATCGGTGGAACTTTTCGGCTGTGTCCGTGTGTAGCTTGGAGTCATTCCGAGGCAGTAGGTTGTATATAATATGTCTTGCAGTCTGACAGAAAAAAAAAAGTGTCTCCGAAGGGCTACAGGAGCTCCAGGAAGGGATTGGACGAGTGCTGTTTATTGCTACTTTAAAATGTGCCTTGGTTCCCTTGTAAAGTCTGAATCCTACTCTATCATTTCATCTGCATTGGGATTGTAATATTAGGCGTATAAATGAGGCCATTTTAGCCCAATCTAGGGGGTTGTGAATTCAGATGTCATCGTAAATGTCCCCTCTTTTTCATTCTCAGCCCCACAGCTTCTTACTCCTACCACAATGCCCAAACAATCCCCTTCTCCCAGAATCTAATCCTTCTGCTTGTCCCCTCCAGCCAAAGCGCCGTCCGTGTCTGCCTGACCAACTCCCCTCTCCTGCCCAGCCCCCTCTTCCATCCTTCCGTCTTGCCATCCCAGCAGCCCCCCAAGGCCTGGCAAAGGATTTGTGCTCTGACTAAAAGGAGGAATCTATTTCCCATCTCTGCAGCCTTAGCTAGTTATCATAGGGAACATGCTGACTCTCTGGAGTGATGGCTCGAGGAGAGGTTTAAGCAAGAATCCATATTTAAACAACTGAATGCCCCCCTAACATTTAAACAGTCATGGAGCCTCAGCGACCTCCAATCATATTTCAAGCACGCATCATTGATGTATATCATGTCTGGTCCAGCCTCACGAATCAATAGCAATTGTATTGAAGTACTGCAGAAACAATGGTTAAAAGACTAACTGGTGTTATGGAAGAGTTCTTTATTGAGACTTCCTAAATATGGTCTGTTTTCACACTGGTGATGTATATTAGATCAAAGAATGTACTTTTCTTTCTTTATGGGTTATGATAAACTGCATGTTGGATGCACCAATCAACAAGCATTTTGAAAAAGGCCCTATTATGCTTCATGGGGTTTTCCCTTTCCATGTGTTATAGGTTTGTGTGCATGTAAATGGTCTGCAAAGGCTCAAATCCCAACGTTCCTTCGAGATGGAGTATCTTTTTTTTTACCATTTGTGCATCAAGAATACAAATCACTATACCATAACAAAGTCTTTAGGATTTTAGAATATTAGATTAGATTAGATATTATTTAATGATCCAAAATTGGTAGAAAACACATCACTGGAGCATGTTGGTAAAGTATTGCACATGAGTTAAAAAAAAAAAAAAGAAATAAGAAAAGAAACACAACCCTAACCCTAATAGTAAATACAGAATAAGTTATTACAATATAATAGACCAATTTAAACTATAATATCAAATATAAACATAGGATACATTATAAAAGTGTGCAACATTTTGTTATAAACATTAGTAGATTTTCATTCAATAACAGGAAAGACCAATTTCTTACTGTATACCGTGATATACTATATTGATATAGCAATGTAGCAGCACTGCTGGAGGGAGAATAAAATGGTTCACCCCACAATTCAAATAATCACTATTTAGATGAATGGCCGAGAGCTACATCTGCCAAGTGAGAAAAAAAAGTGACGGTTGGATATGATTGGGGGATGAACAGGTTTCTGGAAACATTTTGAAGCCTGCTAAAGGTATTAAGGACACAGTGTTGATAGCACTTACCTAAGCTCTAAAAGCATTTCTCAGTATCAGGTGTGCGTGGACTAAAAGGCTGATGGTTCGAATGATTTCTGGCATGGATTTGTTTGCCAGAAAAGCGGTCGAATGGTAGAAAGCAAAGACCCGCGGTATTGATCTGGGCTGACTCGTGCAGCAGAGGCAGCCCTGTTCTGCTGTATCAGTGCTTTCCTGACTTTTACGAGAGGCGCTCATGTGTGGGGGTGGGGGCGGGCGCGGGCGCGGGGGATGGGTGGGCTGGGGGAAGAGTGTGATTGCACATGCACCGTAAGGAGTCATCTTTCTGTTTTGGACTGGTGGAAAGTAGAGCCATTAGTAAACTGATCTTCGGAAGAGGAAATGTAATGGTCTCCTAACTGTATTTACAAGCCATTCAATTTGATAAAGGGTGTGATGTTGAATGATTAATTTTGTTGCCACTCGGCTCCTCTTCACAGTATCAAATTCAGTGTTTCATCAGTATTTTTATTTATTCTTTCATCAAATCGAACAGTGAAGGCAGATCTGATGATTTATTTTGATGCTGCTAAAATAGTTACTGTAACTGTGTTTCCAAAACTGTTTTGCTCTTTTTTGTTAGCATTATTTAGATCTTCTTGGGATTCCCTTTTCACTGCGAAATATCGTCTAGCTTTCCATTTGGTTAGACATCAAAAGATGTGGAGATATTTAAATATTGAGATAGGAAGTCGCTCACTGGGGCTAATGAAAAGTGAACCAATAATTGTCAGCAGAATTCATTTGTCAGAGGAAGATTTGGAAAATAAACTTTTGTCTGACAAATAAGGTTAAAGGTGGGGTAGGTAAGTTTGAGAAACCGGCTCAAGATCGCTAGAATTTGAAAATACACAACCGGAGAAAATCTGCCACTTCCTTATAGAGCCCCTCCTCCAACACACACATGACCAATGAGGGCACGAGATAAGTTTGTGCACAGATGGAAGGCTGACAGGCAGGTAGCTGGCCAGCTCCATTATGATTGCTCACCCGCTTATATATGTCCCGCCCCTTAGCATACCACACAATGTGTTGGAGCCCTAGCCAATAGAAGCAAGAGTGGTACGTTGTGATGTCACTATGCTGCAGGTCTCCCTTGAAAAAGAGATCAATGATCTCAATGGGACCTACCTGGTTAAATAAAGGTTTGAAATGAAATGAAATGCGGAAGTAAACGAAAGAGGCTAATGGAGGAGTTTCAGACAGTGGGGGAGTATATGGGAGATACACTCCCTCTTAAGGGCCTTTGGGATTTGAGCCTTTTCAGACCATTACATGCACAAAAAACAATTTAACAGACTAGAGGAAAGGGAAAACCCCAACAGGCATAATTGGTCCCCTTTAAAGTTCTTCCTCTGTTCATATATTTCCACCTTATATAGACTGCATAATAGTAACAGTGCAAAAGGGCTGCTTAATGTTTTAGGAGTGTTCAATATTTAATGCTATTTTCTGACTTTTGAAGAGTGAACTTTATAAGGCCAGCACAATTCAGACAGTATTCTGATCATTGGTGGATTTTAGAGGTGCAACTTCTACTGTACTGTACCACCTGCTGGGTGTCTACATGGAAGCCCTCAGAAAAAAAGGAAAAAGTGTTGTTGAAAAATACTTTCCCTTTTGTTGAAGATGTTAAATTATTGTCCCTTTTTTTCATTTTTTCTTAGCATACCCATCGACGAGTGACCTTCTCCACCACCAACCCTGTGCAGGACCTGCAGGACGCCTCTCAGCACAGCTACTATGACAGCGGCTTGGAGGAATCGGAGACTCCCAGCAGCAAGTCGTCGTCTGGTCCCCGCATCGGACCCCTGACCCTGCCCGAGGATCACTATGAGAGAACCACTCCAGATGGCAGCATCGGAGAGACCGAGCACCCTGAAAACGGTACCTTGACAATCCCTTCCACTCTGTCGTGTGCCCCATGAATATGCATTTGCATGTAAATGACTCTAATAAGCTCTTTTTGTGTGTTGGTGATGGGGAGGCATTTGTGGAAGATTTGTTGTGGTTTTTCCAGTGGAAATGTTGTGACTTGCTGTGTTTGCCGATGACTGTGAAGATGTTATTGGTTTTTAAGCAGATCTATGTGGGAGGATGTGTGTGCATATAGAGAGGGGGGGGGGGGGGGATCAAGGCTGGAGTTAGCAGTGTCTCCATCCTCCTCATCAGCAGGTCCTCTGTCAGACATCCTTAATGACCCTCTCTCACAAGTGTGCTAATTAAAAAGCCCAACTAATGGAGCATTTGCCCTCTAAATAAATCTGAACCATGGCATCTGTGCAGACAACACTGTATTTACTCGCAGCGTTTCCTTCCCGCAAGTTACAACGCAGCTTAGGTGTGCATAATTCCTAAGGACTGCAATCAATCCACAGGCTGAGCAGCGATGGTCTCAGCATAGGTCCATATAAAAAGAAAAAATAGCCAAAGCTGTAACTGCTATTCTGTGAACTGTGCATCATAATAATAATGTTGCCGCCTTAAGCTGCCAAACATAATCCATTACCTGTCTTGTAACATACTATGATAAGTGATTCACATGGTGCATTTCCACTCATTATAGTGTTTTGCATTGCACTGCTCTCTTAGCCGCTCTTACGGTGGATGTTCGCCACTCACAATAACAAATCACCTTGCTTCGTATGTTTTTATATAACTATTTGCTGTGTTAATGTATGGTTCTATATCAAGATATGGTTATCGTTTCATGCTAATGTATAAGGATTTATTTGTACTGCCCCCATACAAAGTGAGACATGGTGGCGCTGTTGATCAGCATTGACAGTCAGTTTGTCACAGTGTCAGAGCAAAATATACCTTTTGTCTACGGGACTGGCTCTGAGTGTGGAATATATATATATATCTATATTTTTTTTTAACGAGGGAAAGAAACAGTTTCAACCTCAAGCGCTCTCAGTTGCAAAACAGCAGGATCAAAGGCTAAAAAGTGTCACCGTCACACCATAACAGCAGATGACAAACTTCTATTATTAGCATGGTAGCTTGCGTTGTGATGCATCGCCAGACAACTGTGTTGGCTCTCATTAGCTAGTTTATTCATCTGTATTGCAAATGTTTATTGTTTATTTATTTATGTGAATTAGTGACACCATTATTCGAGGGTATAGGGAGGGGGTGGTGGATGTGCAGTGGAGGATGAATCCAGCCAATACTGCAGTTCCCTCAGGCCCTATAGAGGTCAGAGATTGCTTAACATCCCATTTAATAGATAGATAGATAGATAGATCGTACTTTATTGATCCCAAATTGGGAAATTGTTTTTGTTACAGCAGCATAAAAGGCATTTTACAATAAAACAAAATATACAAGAATAGAAATAAAATAAAATAAAATATAAAATAAAATATAAAATATACATGTCAAAATACAAAATAGAAAATATACATACAGATATTATATATATATATATATATATACAAATATATATATATTCAAAATATATGGAATTATGGAGTATTAAATATGAAACAGATTATGTGTGAGTAAAATATACAAGGTGGTTTTATTTCTCGAGAAACTATGGAGCAGAGAGTTCTCTTCCAGCCAGAGGTGATTTATTGTACAGTGTTATTGCAGTGGGCAGGAATGTTTTCCAGTATCTGTCCTTGTGACAGGGGAGCTGCAGCATTCTGTTGGAGAAGGAGCTCCGTTGACTGTCCAGCTGCAGGTGGAGAGGATGGGTGGGGTTAATAGATAGATGTAATCACCCTATATACAGTATACAGGCTTGGTGTTTACAGGGCAACAGTTAACCATTTCCATTTGCTCTTTGCACTTAGAAGATGTAATATATGCATTTTCTTTCCTTTTTTTCTCTTTTCTTTTTTTTGTTGTAACTGATTATTGTGTTTCTCCCATCTGCGGAAAACAGCTTTTGTCAGATAGGGCGGTCTTTGTTGTCAGCAGCAGGAGAGCAAGATTGTGAGTGGAGATGGAGCAGTTAAAGAATGAAAGGATGGCACAAGATGGTGGAGATGTTAGATTGTGACAGGGAGCGGGGACTTAGAGTCTCTGACGAGGAAGCAAAGCCCATAGGATGAGCACATAGGACAGGGAGATGCAAAGATGAACGGCTCACCGAGGATAGACCTAATTAAAATGTGATTCCCACTTCAGGGAGATAACTTAGAGCTGACATAAAATGAAGGATTAGACAGAAAAATCAAACAAGACTGAGGAATTTCTCCCCAGCTTCCACCTGAATTGTGACGTGAAATCCTTTTTTTTGTTGCATTTGAGTGACAGAGTGACAGGTTGTACTGGTGCAGAGCTTTATTCATTGCAGGAGTGATGAGTGACAGGCAAAAAATGGGGAGGTGAGCATGATGTGTCACTCCATTTAAGTTGGATAAAAACGCAATATATGAACTCCAGACTGTCAGACTTTGCATCACTGGGCCCCAGAAATATCGACATGGATGTGTTTTGTATAACAAGTTGAACTTTGACAGTGGAGAATCTACATTGTGAGAGAGTGTCAGTGGTCTACAGCAGAGAATGATGTGGTTCATGTTCTATTTTAGATTCACATTTGGAAAAGTGATGGTGTCAGGTCAGACCTTTACTGACATTAGCCTGCACTTGGTGGGTATTCCAGTGTGAAGCGATCTAAGGCCATGCAACATCTTTATTAAATGCTCGTCCCTTTCAGGATATATATTCCAAAGATAGGTCAATAGCGAATAATACATGATTGTTATGAGTTGGTTTGCATTAGTTGGTCAATGTTGTGTTAAATCTTCTATCTATTACCACCTTAACTCCTTGAAATGAAATATGTTTGGGGTGCAGGTGGATAGTGACGACATAAAAAGCATAGTTAGGCTTAAATGCACTCAAACAGACTGTGAACCGATTGGCTAAATCACCTTCAGTGATGCATTGTGACATCATTAAACACGATTGTTAATCAGGTGGCAACGACCGTGATTGAAACCTGAACAGGAATTGCCTTATTGCATTCTCCCGAATAGGCAGCAGGGGAGAAGAATGTATACTGTAGAAGTCTATGACAAATTGCGTAAACATTTTAGCTTATTTATTTCCTCCGCAGACATTGTTTTGGTCTTAATTGCTAAATTCCAGTCTTCTTCTATACATCATGATGTTCATTTTGTAAATGATGTACCCATTTAGAGTAGAATATACGATAGCATATCCACATTTGGGGGCCCTCTCAACCTCAACAGCGGTTCCTGCTAGCCGTGCGTAATGCAGCCTTCAGAGGCTTCCGCTCAGCCCTTTCAGATTGAGCAATCGGATCTCAATTAGGTCTCAATGTGGACACTGGAGACACATATTAATACCAGGTGTAAATGCAATCAGGTTCAATCATATCAGGAGACAATCTGGATATGAGAGGAATGTTAATGCAAGGTGTAAGGGAAGTCTAAGTGTGCTGCCTTTTGAAGAGTCGTGCAGACTAAAGTAATACGACCTTGGTTCATTGGGCTGGGTGGCAGAGAGGAAGGAGAGTGTGTGGTCCGTAATAGTCTCTGGTTCACTAGAGTAGACAGCAACATATTCCCTCATGGCTCTTGGCGTTGGAATTAAGAGTAGATTCAAACTACAGTAATATCATTTCTGATATATGACATGTATGCTGCCCGATCTGCAGCAATTCATTTCTGGAGTTCCTTTTTTTCCTATGCCTGAGCAGCTGCTTCCTCCTCCCATTTATTTTCTAATTCTTGCCTCCGAGCTGTGTTAGAGTGCACTGCATTTCATTTCCCCGTGTGTATTTTCCACTCTTATGTTCATGCATGTGGAGTGCACATCATTCACTCCGTTGGTTAATCTCGGCAAAATTGTTTATCCATCGGTGTGTCTGTGTGTTCGCACCTGCATGCATGAGCGTATTTGTTTGCATTGGAGATTGTGCATCACACCTTGCATCTCTAAATCAGTTTGATTGCTGTGCCATTTTACTTTATCCGACTCTCACCATAATCACTTAGCCCTTTAATTCTTCTTAAATTGATTGCTTCAGACAAAATGGAAACTGCTTATCTTGTATGTCTGGTTGCTTTCAAGATACATGATTTGTCCTCCACAATGAAATCAAAGGAAGACAGAGGAATGGTTTCTGTATGTCAAATCTGTCCGTCCATCTATCTCCTACGCTGCTGATCAGAGTGGTGGAATCAAAGAGATTGAAGGTGCTCGGAAATATGGACAACATATTTGATCAAGATATAAGGAATTTCATATCTTCACCAGGATATATAGCATGAAACATTAACTTTCCAAGTGAAACCTTAGAGAAGAATACATTGACATTCTAGCCATACTATGTTTTCATGCATGCACACATAGTAATGAGATTAAGACAATAGTTTGATTGAACTAAACTGGCATTTACCCATAAGCATAATTATGTGGTGTGGTTATTTTAGCCATAACCAAAAATATTCCCTTAATTCTCACTATGAATATCAGATTCTCTGAGAAATTTGAGTAATGTTGGCCCAATATAGGATTTAGTCACAATATCATTCGGTTGAAAAACGCTTAAATTATGATATTGAATTATTGCCCAGCTGTTGTTTTTATTTGTAATGTTTTGGAGCAGAGCAGGGTTGACCCAAAGGCAGGACAACAAGTATTGAACAACAAAAATACCTTTAATTCCAGGTTTTAACAGGCAAATCAGGGCAAGTCAAAACACAAAATAACAAAGCTCTCCAACACAAGAAACAAGACACAGCTGGGGAGAGAAGAAAAAACACCAAGGCACCAGGTGAACACAATCAGATAATCAAACAGGAGGGAAAACACAGAGACAGGAAGTTAAAACAGACATAACTCAGGGGGTGAAGGCTTTTCAAAATAAAACAGGAAACTGGTGTGACAGAGCATGACAC